GAGTTCCCCACGGAGGTGTCATATCTCCGGAATTGTTTAACCTCTACCTTTCTTCAAAATATCCGTCATAAAATCAATTGTTCACCACATGGACTTTCAGCCGCCCAGCTGAATATAATTATCGATGGACAACTGATTTCGACCACAAACTAAACATAGATACTTTGCTGCGATAAGCTGATAAGTAGGAACAAGGTCATCAAGTCGCAAACCACCACTTGGGCGCTGACAAAGAAACCTTGTTGACCTTTTATAAAGCGCCAGTGTGGTTTGCAAATGTAAGTGATACGCAGTGGAAGAATATTCAGACCAGCCAAAATTCAGCCCTGAGAACTGCAAAAGGGTGTATTCTCACTCAAATGGGCCATCATCATGAGGAAACGAAGATCTTGTCCGTCCATCGTCACAACTCTATATTGTCAATGCAGTACTTGCTTGGGAGTTATCGTCGGGAACAGCCCTGTCATAGCCTAATGGTCAGAACTCCCTCGCCCAGACACGTCAGAAGAGTTCTTCATGATCTAGAGAGAGATATGTTCAGAAATATAAGCGATAACATAATATAAGCAATAACATAATGGCATTCACACAGACGATTTCGCTCAGTTGAGCAATATCGTGTGAATACCATAATCGGAGACCCCCATTCATTGCACCAAGGCAGAAGCAGCTGCCCCGACAAAGTAAATTTCATCTTAGTAAATTTGTTCCACATTTTCTAAAATATAATGATTCTAACCTCATTCTAGGCCTAGTCGTCAGCTGTTTATATATAGATGGCAAAACATGCACCTATATTGACAATTTTCCGCTTGGGGGCTTTTTATTCTCTGTAACCCTGAAGTGTATATTACAAGTGCATCGTTAAAAAACATAATGTTCAAAAAACTTCTCTCATTCCTTGTAGATGCAGGGCTACTTAATTTCAATTATGTTTACATTGGTTCGGAACGAAACTGTTTCATGTCGCTAACAGTAAAAGATTAAAGAAACGAAATGCCACAAAGACAGATATTGTCACAAAATAAATGTTGTTTTCCCATTCAATCCGCTTTTTTGTGGTCACATCGAAAACATGCTATCAAATTGGACTTGCTATGTTGGTCGGAGACTTGCCAACACCATCGTCCCCATCATCATCGTCGTCGTAACAGTTATCGGCTATGTGACAAAGTGTCTGCCGAATTCTACTACCGAAAATTTATAGCCTCTGGGAGTTCAATCTGAACCAAAATAATCGTAATTTACATACGGGATTAATTATGCTGCCGAAAAGACACAGACAAATTTTCAAATCGAAATGGAAAAGAGAACAGAGAAAAAAACACACGTAGACAGAGTGTCGTATATGAATGTGGATACCACAAGTTTGTGGATACAACTGTTTGTCTGGCCGGAGTTTTGTGTGGAATAACGATAACCTCAAATTATAGCTAACGGCTTTAAAACGAACAGCTACCGATTTGATTATTGATAATATTTTGATTTATCTACAAGATATACAAATTACTCTCCAAAAAACGCATTCTCTTTTCTGACTTCTGAATAAACCACAAAAACGATGCAGTCAAGCTTCTATTTAATTCAAAATAATACAATCAGACCATCACCAAACACTTTACCACACAAAGTTATGCCTCTGGCTAATATTTAGTTTTGGTTCGACTTCTTTTCGTTTTCCAAATAACAAACGACAAATGTAATAACCCAATGAAGAATTACACGGGGAGATTGGGTGATGAAGAAAATCAACGGAATATAAACGATTGTGCACACAAGATAGAAAATTCTACCGTTGATGAAATTAGATATTTGAAATTAGTGAGAGGATAAATAAAAATAAAATTAAACTAATAAAACTGAATGCATATAGTGCTTACTTAAAAATATCTCAAAATATCCAACTAAAATTTTATTGGCATGTTGTTCACCAAAATGTTTGCTGGGTTCTCCGCATCATTATAATTTCAAATTAAACAATTTGAGATTGTGGTAAAAATGAAACATCGTCTTTTTTTGTGGTATTCTTTTAAACGAATGTGACATTTTTTTTATTATCGGTCAACTGTTGAATGGAAATTAGTCTTCTGTGTTCAATCTCAGTTTAGCTGTAGGGCTCTCAGTTTGTGGCCGCCCACCATTGACATTTTCTGATCAAAAACATATAATGATTAAAATAATTTGGTATCGATATCAAAAGTGGAGCAATCAAAAAGAAAATGGTACATAAATATTACATTATTAATATGAAGGTAAAAGAGAAAGGTATCAAAAATACTGCTCTACTACTGGCTAATATTTTTCGAGGTTTTCTGAAGTTTGATTTGAAAATTTGCCCGTTTCTCTACATTGAGAAATTTCACAAATCCTAAATTTAGTTTCCGAATATGTGTACACTTAAAATTATTATAATCAGATCAGTATATCAAGATCATCGTTGCATTTAGTTATAGGTTATTGTAGTTCTCGTCCTGATGTTAGTGTTGTGTAATCACTATTTCTGCTTTAAACCATTCCATCCGAAAATCCTGAATCTCTGACAAAAAATCTAAATTAAACACTTGTCCAAGTGCGAAATTCGAGTATTTAAAAACCGCAATGCTTCAAGGACGTTTAGAGGATCGTTACAGGCGAATTTTTCATTTTGTACTATCGGTCACCCCCGAAATGAAATTCTGCTGGGTCAATGGTACTAAATTTAGAACAATATATTGAGTGAACGAATAAATATATAATTTTGGAACTGGTATAGGGATCGCTAAGGTAAGGAAGTGGTTTCGGAAATACGCACCTACAATTTGTATACCATTTCACATACGTTGGAGTGGATATTAAATTTGTCATTCCGTTTGAAACACCTCAAAATATTCACCGGAAACCCCACAAAGTATATATATTTTCGACCGGAATAAAATTCTATGCCGATTTACGGATGTCCCTCTGTCTGTTAAAATCACTATATAGACCAATATTTCAGATAGGGCTCTAAAATTTTGGATAGACATTGCTAGTACTCCTAGGATGTTTGGTATTACAAATGGAATACCAGTCCACGTTTTGGAGGTACCCCCAATATTCTGTATTTTTCTGATTTTGGTCATGTTTTCCAACCGAATTAGTTGTAATTTCGTATTTTGAGCTCTCATTGAATAACACATATCCGCATTACAAATTATTAATATTTACCCCAGTTTCGGGGTAGCCCCTCATATAACGGTACTTCCCAATATTCGATAGTTTGGAGATTTTGGACACGTTTTCCAACCGAATTGGCAATAAATTGGTATTTTGTATTGCTGTTATTTTGTATTTTGTAATCTGTTTGGCTTTTATATGCCTTTTAAGCTGGGACATCTGGGACGTAGTTGCTGCAGCGCGATACGTCTAACAATGTCGATGTCCGAGAATAGCTGGCACAATTCATGGTTCCTTCGACGGCTATATTCACCGTTAACGCAGATCGGCCCATAGGTTCTTCGGAGAATTTTTCTCTCAAACACCCCAAGAGATCCATACAACAGCGCGGGTAGTATAAACGTCTTGTAAAATGTGAGTTTAGTCGGGCGGGACGAGAGCTTGTTTCTAAACTGCTTAATTCCACTATGCTTCTCCGAATTTCCTTCCTTCACAGCCGACCCAATTTTGCAGGTATGGCAAAGGCATACATTGCATTAAACACCTCTGAACGAATAGGGCTGTCGTTTCGTGGGTCTTTTACTGGATTTGGTGCAGAGGGAAAATCTGGTCAATGAAGGATTTCCAGGTGTGAAGCTGCATTGGTATGGTTCAATAATTTCATAGACATAGCACTTTATATGCGATGTTCCTATCTTAGGAGACTTATTCCTCTATAGTTGGTACATATCGTCATGTCTCCTTTGTTGTGCACGGGACACATGATGCTGAGGTTCCAATCATTGTGCATGCATTCCTCTAGCCAAATTCTACTAATCAGCTGGTTCATGCTCCTGACTAGCATCTGACCACCAGTCTTGAATAGTTCGCCTGGTAGACCATCGGCACCTGCTGCATTATTATTATTCAGCCGATTGGTTGATATATTGAGCTCATCTTGGCTAGGATATGTATTCCGATCCGTACATTCTTATACATACATTACATTAGACGACGTTTATGGTCACATTTTTGCTTTGGGGTTTCTGATTGCCAGTTTTTTTAGTTTTCGTATTTCCCTAAATGATATCCCCATCTAAATAAATACACAACGAATTAAATTTTTATCATTTGTTTTTATGATTTTTTGTTGTTTTGTTTTAATTTTTATCTTCAATTGATTTTTTCCAAACTTATTTACAAATACAATTAGCTTTACTTATAGGCTACGTTACAATTAATAATACACAGATTGTTTTTTGTTTTAATTTTTTAAATTTTAATAATTACAAACTACTTGCCATGATGATATTATAAGATAATTAAACTAATGATTTTTTAAAAAGTTTATTATTTTAAATATAATACAAATATTGTGTTACAGCTACTATGAAACAAAAATAAATTACGATTTATAAATTACAATATTTACAATAATAATAATAAGATAATTATTATATTTTTGGGATATACACAAAATAAAGAAATTGTACATGAAAGAGAATATAAATATTAACAAAATAAGCCGAATTTAAAACGGGAATTCCTCCAAAGTGGGCTTAGTACAAAACGCGGACCAGCAGTGTTTAAGTCTTTTTGCCAAAAAGTTTTATGTGAAATTGGGAATTGATTTTAGAATCCCCTTCCAGTGAGTGTGTGTGTATAGTGGGGATGTGTTTCTGTGCACCTTTTTTGGTAATCCATTGAGTGTCAAAAGTCATTGCAAGGTTGCATTAATTCCAGCAACTTTTCAGACATTTGCAATTCCTTGGGGTTTTCTTTTCAGTTTTAAGTAGCATCCTTTAAAGCTTTCAATTGATTGGAATATCCGAGGAATTTCCCAGATATATGTTGTTTTTAATGAAATATTTACGTATGATCCGCACTCATTTCTGGGGACTCAAGGCTTGCATGGCAGATTGGGCATGCGATGCATGTGCCGACAAACCGGGCATCATGCCAGCGGCAGCAGCTGCCGCCAATCCCTCCATAACCACGGCATCAGGATGTAGAGGTTTCTTTTTCAAAATGCTGAGATCATTGACATTTTCCAGGAATGATTTTTGACCCGAAAACACCTTGACAGTTTCAAAGTCTTTCTTGAGCTCCTCAATGTCACGCTTTTGCTTGGCACGACGATTTTGGAACCAGGTAATCACTTGGGCATTCGAGAGACCCAGAGAGGAGGCAATTTCATCACGATCAGCTGGTGAGAGATATTTTTGATAGAGGAAACGTTTCTCCAATTCAAAGATTTGATGATTGGTGAAGGCTGTGCGGGACTTGCGTTTCTTTTTGGGTTGCGGACGATTCGAGAAGAGATCAATGTGGGATTTTTCTGTAAAGGAAAAGAAGAGAGAGAAATAATTTGATTAGTAATTTTATTTTAATTTATTAATTTGAATTATTATTATAAATTATTACACCCTGTATTTGTTGAATCATTTAATGAAACATTTACTTGATTAGTTGTGTTGCTGCTTGGGTGCTAAGCATTTGGCAAGTGTTAACATTTTTCTAAATACCTTCTGGCCATTAATGGTTGTAGTTAATTATAGCGTTTATAAGAAAAATAATTTGTTTTATAAATATTTAAGAGAGAAAAAACAGCAACAACAACAACAACTACTTCACATATATGCAATTAATTGCAGTTATACGAATAAGGCGTTAACCGTGCTTGTTTGCAATTGTAGAAACTTGTCGCTGTTCATGAAATGACTTTCATGGAATACGCTAACTGCTAATGTATGCTAACAATGCCAAGCTGCTAGATGGCTGGCTGGCTAGCTGTCACGCTGAAGGAAGCTGTGGGATGTTGATTGTTAACATATTTAATTTATATATGTGCTTTGCTTTTTTTATATTTTTAATTACAATCTTATTACAGCAAAAGTCTTGGTGGTGGCTTTAATGAATTTACACTTGTTGTTGCTTTTTTGGTTATTATTTTTTACACATTGTCTTAGACATTTGCCGCTGTTTTGTGGCATGTGTTTTGCTTAATCAATTGACAAATGATTAATTATGCTGTGCTGGGCGCTTAGCAACCCGCTGCTGTACTTGGTAATTAATTTAAGCTTGATTTAATGTCAATAAATATTGTACAGTAGTACGTTACCCAGGCATTGTATTGGCTGGTAATTTAAATTTTACTTCGAATTTTTGAAGGGTATTTATCATTCGAACTTCATTATATTTTTTCATATATGATTAATTTTTGAGTTGTTTTTGTTAGGCCCCCTTGGCTTGGGGTTTTCTGATTGCCAGTTTTGAAACAGTTAGCCCATTTGAAAGAATGTGTTGGGCCATTGCACGTTGTTGTTTTTGTTTTCTTTATTAAGACAATTAACATAAGCGTTTGTTGTGAGCTTTGCTCATCCAGTTATTAACGCTGCCGTTGCTGTTGGCTGGCTGGTATTTTTATGGCCTTAAAGTGTTTTGGTTTTAACGCTTAACATCGATTGTGGCGGCTTAGATCACATAGAGCATCAATGGTGAAAACAAACTGAATATTTTTCGATAGCTACTGTTTGTGGCTTTTGATGTTACCCGTTTCTGGACTAGCTTTTTATTGTGTTTTTACTTCCATGTTTGTTGTTGTTTATGTTACCATGTTTTTCTTTCGATGGCTCAACACGCTTTTTGTTTTAATTTTTTAAACAGATATTTTAATTAGCTAAGAAAAACACAGAAAATCCATAAACAAGGGAAAAAGTGTTTTGAAAATTGAAATTGAAAAACCATAAAACACACAGTATTCCATCTAAATATTCTTTCTAATTACTTTTAAACCCCTTGTTCTTATCTAGAATCACCACCAAGCAGCAAGAAAATGAAATAAAACATTTGTTTTGTGTAACCATAATCTCCTCCAGATACACCACTTCATACTGAATTGCCCACTTTTTTTCTTGGGTTGGAACGCTTAACTAAAATATTTAATCAACATTGACATTAACTAATTTATGTCAAGTGCCCAGACCTGACTCGTTTCAAGTGAAAGTAGAAGAAGGAGTTTTGTTTTGGTTTGTATTGTCAGTTGTCATTGAAAATCGAATAATTGGGAAATTTGAGAACTGCCTTGCTCTCACTCTGCATACTCAATAGCTGGCTGGCTGGCTGGCTGATAATTGAAAACGAGTCCTACATACCAAGGGTCATTCTACATGAACAAAAACAACAACGAAAAAAAAAATATTTTCTTAGTAATTTAAACACTTGTGAACATTTGTTTTAAGTGTAGTGTAGCTGTCATTTGGACTCGGGCTAAGTTTCAATTTTCTTTTCTCTGCAGCCAATGAAATTTATGGGTTTTTGGTGACCAAATGTCTGGCAAGTTCAATATTTTGAGTTGGTTTTTTTGTAATACATATTATTATGATATTTTTGTTTTCAAATTAAAAAAAACGCCTTATCTTATGGAAATTATTTTATTGTTTTTTTCGGTTTCTAGTTTTGTGATAAATTTCATTTTCTAAATACCCAAAGGGGAAATTTTGGAAAACTTTTTTTTTTCAAGATGTTTGTTATTAGATTGATGCTAATTGCTGTTAGCTGCCCAATATTTATTGCTTTCAAAACTCATTATCCGAAGAGCTAATCTAATGTTAGTTTTAAGATTACTCGACACTTTTTCTTTGTAAAATAAGATAATTTATGGGAGTTTTTTTTACTAAATTTTGTAATTTCATTGCAATTTATCAATCCCTGCAATTTATCAAACCCCATTTTTAAAAGGGAATACAACATAAAAAATAATTGGCTAAAAGAGTTTTTTAATTTTAATCTCATATCCGAATCACAAAAAACATTATATGTGCCTTATTTATCATCACTTGATAAACACTGTAAATTGTTTATTTATAATCAAACATTTTTTGGCAGACAAATATATATTTTTTTATTTAAATATATATTTATTTAACAATTAAATTTATTCGATGCTAAGATAATTTTTCCTTTCAAAATATTTTGTCACCATCATGAAGAACATGCCAGAGGTAAATGGCATTGCTTTTGTGCAGTTGACATTCCTCATTAATTTTTATAGATCTTGTTCAGTTTTTTTTTCTTCTGCCATTTTGTTTTTCTTTTTTGACAATTCGTACAATGTGAAAAATGGCAACAAATGTTTTTTTTTGCTTCATGTCTGTTGTATTTAGACCATTTTAATGGGAATTAATTAATTTTTCAGCAAATAAATGCAATTAAAATGAAATTCAACTCAACGCCATTGTGAAGAGAGAACAATGGCATGTCATTTTCAAAATTAACGAAAATTTGTAAACGCAAATTTTTGAGAAAGTTGCATCGTATCTTAATTCATATCTTTTGAAAATCAATCAAGTCGAATTACTTTGATTGCAATTTTTCGGGAATCAGATTTTTTACTCCGAAATTAAATTTTTAACAAAATCAACATTTCCCACTCTTTTGTATTTTCTGAAAACTGCCGACGGTAATTCCTCTAAGATTTTATGATCAATTTTATTTCTAATTTATAATATTACTTTTATTTCTTAATATCTTTTCAACTTACCATCTGATTCATCAAAATCTTTGGTTGTCATTTGAAACAAAGCATCCAAGGGGGTATCATTTTTCACTTTATTACTGCTGCTGTTGCTATTTGCCGAACTACTGCCACTACTGCCGCCATTATTAGCCGAACCAGACCCACCCGCATTACCACTACTGCTGCCACCACTGGTCCTCGCCTGTTGAGATCTTTCCAAGCTACCTTGTGGTGAATGGCGTGGATGATGAGCCTCTGTTGATGAACGATTTGCAATTTCGGGTGAACAACAATCACTGGCCGCTGAACTGGACCGGTCACTGCCACTTTCTGAGGGTATGATATCCATGCCATTCATATGTCTCAGCAGCTGGGCCTGGGCATTGAAATGTTCCTGTAATTGACGGTGGTAATCCAGGGCCAAACGCTGTTCATAATGCAACAGGGCGGATGGAATAAAGGGGCGTACACCGGGCATGGGACCCAATAGATGATCCCAGGGTCGTACAACATGGGCAGAACCTGGCAGTAACATGGCGGCTGCAGGATGTGGTACTAAATCCAAAGGTTCTGTGCGGGGCTGCAGAAGACCACTCGAAGAGGTGCTGCTGTGTAAATGTTTATTTGTGGCGGGTGCAGATGATGGCGGCGGTGGTGGCGAGACCGAGGAGTCACGTTGTTTCTCATGGCCCAAAATATCAGCAATCGAGAAACTTTTAACACCTTCCAAATGTGATTTGGTACTGGTCGCCGAAGAGGATTGGTTTGATTGCTGTTGTTGTTGTACAGGACTGGGAGATCTTTCTTTGGCATCACTGTCCTCGGCTGACATTCTTAAACGTTTCAGGGGCTGAAAGTATTCCTCAGGCATTGCACCGACGGCTGCCCGTGTTAGACCGGCAGCAGCCGCCGCCACTGCATGTTGATGCATGATCAATTGTTGGTGTTGTTGCTGAATGATATCCATGGCTGAGCGGTTGTGGGCCGCAGGCAAAGGGCTGGGGGCACCACCAACCGATATTTCCGATTCAGCAGGACTGGCGGGACGCATGGTGGGCGGACAAAGCATATTATTTTGCAAAGCACCAACACTATATTTTGTTTTTCAAATATTTTTTCACAATATTTTATTTCTTTTCACTATTATTCTTAAATATTTTATTCTGTTTTATATTTCCATTTATATTTATTGGGAATTTTTAATATGAATGTTTCACTTCAATAATTGTTGTTGTTTTTTGTATGATATGTTTAGCAAACGCGCGCATTTAACAACCGATCTCGTTTAATGTTCACCACATACTGAAATCAATCAAAGCACAATCATTGCTCAATTTGGTTCAAGTCACTTCTTCTCTTTCACCTCTGCTTATTGGGTGCTCACTAAATTGTAACAGTTTCTTCTTGCTGTTGTTTTTGTTGTACACATATGTGTTTGTTATTTTGATTTTCTTGTTAACACTTTGTGAGAGAGAACCTATGTATATTTCTCTTTTAATATGTATGTACGAAACAGAAAAAACACGCTATTTGCCGTCGTCGTCGCCTCTGTTATTTTCTTAACAATGATGATAAACGACAGACGTTCGAAAATCAGACACACTCAACAAAAAATCCAACGACTGAGTTGTAAGACCTTTCCATTCGACGCTTCACAGTCAACTGTTCGAAACTAGATTGAAAGATTGCTAACTAGACAAGTTGATTTTCTTGTTTTTTGCTTCGCTGTCGCTGACAGTATGTGTGTGTGCCAGAGAGTGCCTTCTAACCTACCCAGGGTAAATGTGTATCTCTGTGTTAGGGTGTGTGTGTGTTTCTGGCTGGCTGACTAAAAGACATATGGTTCGATGGTTGGTTGGTTGATTGGGTTCAAATGGGTGCCTCAGAAGCTGATTACGTTCGAGTTGTTGTTGTTGTCGTTGCTGCTTGTGTTGTTAGTGGCGGTGGTTGTTGTTTAGAGTTGATGTTGCAGAGCAGCTCTCATTTGGGAGTTTGAGGTTGTTAAAAGGTTCGTGTGTGCCTTGTTTGTTGGTGGTTAACGTTGTTTAATGATACTGCTGCTCAAGCAAATCATAACCAGCAGCGGGGAGAGCGAACCAAAGCAGCATCAGACAAATGAGATATACTAACAAACAAAAAACGTGCCCACCCAAAACAAATACAACAATCAGCAAGCCAGTGTGATTAACAAAAGGAATGAGCAGGGAGAATACACACAACAAACAGTTGTGATTTTTGAGAGAGTGAATGGAAATAATTTGAAAAATAACTTCGCGCTCTCTCTCTCTCACGCCCTTATGTTATTCAGTAAACAAAAATATATTCCATAGTGCCATCTCGTTTCAGAGGCGTTAGTCCAATTGGCCAATCACAATGTAGCAAGGTATGTGTGTGCGTGCGTGTTCAAAACAATGGTGGTTCATGTAACGGTAATTATGGCGTTCATCACCGTAGCTGTGGCAAACAAATTTAAGCGTTATCACATTCATTTAATAATTGTTTCTGTTGTTGTTGCTTGATTTGTTTTTTTGTTGCTGTTGCCTCCTGCTTAACAACAAATAAGCACGAATGAGAAGCAAATAATTATTTTTTCCATGTAGCCCTTCTATTTTTGCTGTCGAAAAAAATTCGTTCGCTTGTATTGAAGTTCATATAGTTCAATTTTTAGTAACAAGTTTGTATTTAGGCAAATTGTAATCTTTTGTTAGCTCCAGTCATTCGTCAATTTCAAAATTATCAGTTGTTTTGTACTTAACACACATAAATTGTCTCTTCAATTTTCATGTTTTATCTATTGAAAAAAAAAATACAATTTGTGTGTGCACAAATAACCAAATTGTTAAAGCTATTCATCAAATTGTCAAGGGCAATTAATTCATTTGATTGTGTGTTTTAACCGTCGCCTTTGTTGGATGGTGTTTGCAGAAACTTTGTTATTTAATTTTGTATTTTATTTTTTGCATTTTTTAAAAAAATTTTATTATATATATGACAGTGATTTCTTCAACTTTTTCCTTTAAAAAATATTTGGAAATTAAATAACACTAAATAAATCATATTTAACGACGACCAAGAGCAATGAAATCTATCCTTTGTTACTTCGCATAATTTTTAAGAAAATTAAAAAAAAGACATTAAAACAGAGATATTGTTCTTTTGGAAATTGTATGCCCATTTCCAATTAAAAAAAACATACACTAAATCTATACAATGGTCAGAAACGTAAAATATATTTGGCAAATAATATAATTAGTTTTAAAATTCCAATTTTTAACCGTTTATATTTTTTTTATGAAAATTCAAACATAGAACATGAAACTAAATCCCGAAAGTGCCAACATTTCGCAATATTTACTTTGCCTTATGTGTTGATTACGATATTAAACTGTATTCGAATACATATTACCTCACTGTTTTTTTAGTATTTCTTGCAATATCCACTCTTGTACATAAATAGAATTGTTAAAGACTAAACACATCTCTCATACACTGGCAATTTTTCCGGGCCGTCCTGTTAAAAGAACACCAAAAAATTCTGTGCTAAAACAGCCGTTATTTCTGTGAATTTCTTTAAAATATGTCATTTTATTGTTGTATCTTCTAGGAGTATCCATTCTCCTAGATTCATGTATATACTATGGGAATATTTTACATATGTATCCTAACAGACGTCGCCTTTTCGAAGGAACACTGACATGAAGTTGTACGAACTTAAATATGGGCACTTCCGCAGTCACTTACACGACTTTCAGAGGCAAAATCAAAATTTAAATCTTAAATAAATCGAAAACAATTACATTTTTTACAATTCTCTCTTAATACTTTTTTGTAGAACTTTAGGAGTACTACCAGTGGTAAAAAAATGAGAGCCTCTAGTTTTCAACTTTTGAGATAAAAGCCACAAAAGAGTGGTCACTCACGCGACTTCAAATATACACGACTTTAGACATCACTACAAATAATGGGAAAACTCTGCGAATTGTGTGAATATATTAAAATTTTAATATTCTTTACATGAATATGAGATATCGATCATTATTATTGCACTTTCAAAAATTCAAAATATGGCATATCCTTTATTTGCGAAGGATTTTTCTCGGTCACTCACGCGACGTAACTCACGCGACATTGTTGATTTTGCAGTTTTTATTTCTGAAGTGTCTGCATTTTTAGTCATTAAATTAGTATTTATGCTAAGAACAAGTAGAAAAAATGACAAATGTGGTATTTCTTTATATTTTTTGCCTTTACTTTACGTATTTAAGCACAATTAAAGAAACAAATTCTTCGACTTTGGTTTACCATTTTGCGGAAGTGCCCATATGTGATTGTCATATATGAGTAAAGCGAATAACCTCAATTCTTACACAGGGCTTTCTGCAACCTATGTTAAATTTAATTTCATTCGGGCAGATTAAGAGTAGTTTGAATACAATGGAACAAATTTAAGTAAATCGATTTAAAGCCCTGTTCAAAATGTAATCTCAATCAGACACTCGTTCGAAATATTGTATATGGAAGCAATGTCTGCATCTGCACCAATTTCAACAAAATGCAATAAAGTCATTCTAGCCTCAATTTGATACGTTATGCAAAATTTCGTGCCAATCGGACAAACATTAGAAGTTTGGTGCACATGGGAGCTATGGAAGCTATACCAAAATCTGAACTAATTTTCTCGAAACTATACACACATCATTCTAGACTTAATTAAGTATGCTATGCTAAATTTCGTTCAAATCGAAAGAAATATAGGCGCTTTGGGACACTATTTACATAAAATCGGACGAAAATATACATGGGAGTTGTATCTAAATCTGAACCTAATTCAACAAAACTTGACACGCGTTATGTTATAGTAACTTCAGTATGTTTTGCAAAATGTTGTGCCAATCGGCCTAATTTTGACTCTTTGGTGCACTATTTGCTACAAATTTGACGAAAATATACATTGGATCTATATCTAAATGTGAACCGATTTCAATAAAACTTGACACACCTTTGGCTACTCTATTTTCAGTACGTTGTGCAAAAGTTTTGTGCCAATCGGCCTAACTTTTGGTGTTAAGTGCACTATTTAGAGTAACTTCGGGTAATGTGGACTTAGAAAATGCTTGAAATATGTCAATGCTGCCTTGATATATGTTTTCCTAATAAGAGATAACAAACATCTAACATGATTTTGGATACATAATTACAATGTTGAAAATTTAGATAAGCTTTTATTGAAATATGTAATTTTAACATTTTTTTTAGCAGAAGAGTCAAACAATTAGTTTTTCTCAAATATAAAGAAGTTATCTGGTTCTATATTTTCCACAACAAAAATGTACGATTAGCTGTATTTACAATCAATGAGTTTTAATTTATATTTATTATTTAAGGCGAAAATAATTTTCAAATAAAGTAATTCAAAGTCGGGTAATGTGGACCACTATTAAAAACGGGACTTTCTTATGGGGAATAGTTCGTAACATGGGCAAATATTAAAAACATTTCTACAAGAAGGTATTCTACATTCTACCTCGCTTAAAGGGGTTTCGGTTTTCTTTAAGCGAAATTACAGCTGCTTCGGTTGGAAATTAAGCTGACACGTTTAAAATACCGCAAATGGAGCGGTCTCCTTAAAAGGGAGCTATTCCTAAACATGAAACATTGTTACCCAAGATTGAAATAAATATAAATTTATCACAACCAATCCACAATCTAAATTTTAACTTACTGGTCCACATTACCCACACATACTGGTCCACATTACCCGCCAAGTTATTTTTATTCGCAGTTTTGATTTTTTTAATATAATGCAATAACATATATACTTTTATATATACTTTTATATGATTGTCACGCAATGGTATGTTGCTGTCAAGAGTACATTTTACAGACTCTCAGGTTGAAAATTGTGTTAGGACATTGTACATATAAAAATCCTCAAAATACAAAAAATGAGGGTAATCATTATAATGGGGCTATATCAAAGATATTGATATTGACTCGGTTTAAAAACCTTACCAAAATACCGAATAATTGGGGTAGCAATATATTATATATATATTATATACTTTTTGGTAAAGAATTTTGT